GTAACCTCTCATAATTAAATCTAACCCCTTATTTTTACACTTAAACATCTATCCCTATACTTAACTCCTTATTCTTATATCTAATCACCTATTTCTATACCTAAACACTTATTCCTATACTTAACCTTTTATAACTATGTGGAATTCCTTATACTTATACATAATCTCTTATTACTATACCTAAATCTTTATAACTATACGTAATCCCTTATTTTTATACCTAAACGCTTACTCTACACTTAATACCTTATAACTATGTCTAGTCCCTGATACCTATATCTAACTCCTTATTTTTGTACTAAAACCCTTGACATTATACTTAATCTCTTGTTCCTATTCTTAACTCTTTATAACTATGTCTAATCCGTTATATTTATATTTTACCCTTTATACTTATATCCAATCCCTAATCCCTTATTTCTGCACTTAAACTCTTAGTTCTATACTTAACTCCTTATAATTTTACTGAACCCCTTATTTCTGTGCCTAAACCCTTATAACTATACATAACCTCTTATTCCTGTACTTAACTCCTCATAATTATTTCCAATATCTTTTTTCTACAACACAAGTCTTATTTCTATACTTAACCTCTTATTTCTATACCTAAATGCTTGTTCCTATACTTAGCTTCTTATAATTATTAATTAACCATTTATGACAATATCGAATTCCTTATTCCTATACCTAACCCCTCATTTCTATACTAAGAGCTTTTTTCCTATACTTAATACCATATAACTATGTCTAATTACTTATTTGTATATCTAATCACTAGTTTCTATACATAAACCCTTCTTCCGATACTTATTCTCTTATAACTATATCTGATCTCTTGTAGATGTATTTAATCTCTTATTTGTATACCGAAATGCTTATTCATATACTTAACTCCTTGGAACTATATCTAGAAATGGCTTAGTATGAAAGATACTTAACCTGCCGAATTTTTCTAAACCAAAAATTGGTTAGCACGGAAAGTGCAAAACGATTTTCGTTTTGCGAAATCTAAAAAAGTTCCGCACCCAAATGTGAAACTTTTAAGGTTCAGTAATAGACCATTTTTTCCTGAGTGTACAATGGTGTTGAAAGTTTCGCCAGTAATTTATTGCCTGATACAATGCTATAATTTGTTCTTGTTTTGTTCTTCCAGAATATATTTCATACATTAATCATATTTAAATAAAGGGCAGTTGACTTTAATCTGCTATGTTAATAAATATAAGCAATAATCATCATTATCAATTAATAATTATAGAAATATTTTGTCATTAAAATAACCAGATATAGCTTTTTGGAAAAACAGTTATTCATTTTAAATATTCATATAATACGATATTTATCGAATGAGAAATTATATTGTCTTGTCGAGTCATGGCATTAAGTTATCCGACATCATCATTAAAAAAAAATTTAACAGCACATTCAACTAAATACATTGCCTTGTCCTTCAATAATTATTTGAAAACATATATAAAGAAAAAAATTATAATACTTTATCCATAATAGCAAGAAGTTCATTTTTATCTAGAATTATTTTATAAGAACATAAAAATATAATTGATTACTTGATGCAAAAATAAAAATTTCGTTAATGAGCTATGACACATGTGTTTTGTCATAGACTTTAATGTAAGTATACAGAGTAGTCTTAACAGCTAGTGTAAATTTAATGTATTGAATAAATTCATAGAAAAGAAGAATGAAGATTGCGTGCGCACACACTTACTACCTTTGAATTCTTGCAACAATATAAATGAAAGAAATAGTTACGCCATGCAAATGAAAAGAGAACAGAACAGAACAGAACAGAACCGAAGAGTAAACAAAACTTACGTGAATCAGAATGAATTGAAATATGTTCTCTCTTAAGTGTACTCATCCAGGCAAAGTATAATCAACGATGCTTACTATTACATTATGTCATGTCTATATGTAACGTATGGCGTAAAAGAAATACAAATGTAACGCCATGGAAACGTCCCTAACATTCTACTGGCAGGATGTGATTTCGTTGGATATACGGTATTCGAGCAGAGAAATATGAGAACTAATATACTGATGTACACGTAAACGAATGGAATTAAAGGAATAGTCTATGATCAAATACGAATGCGTCATCGAATCAACGTCGAATGTAAACTTCACTAACGCACTTGGAATGAAACTCACTTTGAATAGCTGTTATTTACAGGATATGAAGTATCGTTGACAGATATGATTTATCCTGTTATTTATTTTAATAAAGTAAAATCGAAGAGTTACATCAAAATTATCAAGTTGATTTACCAACATCTTTCATATGCATTTGTTCTCAAACATGTTATTTAGACTATTCATATCTTACTAACATTCTCATTTCGTTTTAATCTTTGATCGATGTGAGATTTGCTATTTACTACATGTTCTGTTTCGATTTGCTTTGAGATTTTACTCTGTCGATTGTTTATATTCTTTGTGTAAATTATGGATTCAAATAAAACCTTTATGCATATAGTTAGGGATGCAACGATGATAGTGCATTTTAGGTACGGTGACGCTGTTGGGCGATGCACCGATGAGCGGCGAACCCGTGGTTCATTATCACCGCTGCATTCATAGTGAGGCGCAACATCATGCTATTGGAGCCGATCAGGGGCTAGCACGGGTTATCTTTTATATAGTCTAAACAACACCATGTTTTCTACTCATAATAGTGAAGCAATATTGTGCTGCAATCTGACTGGTTGCAATGAAAAAGCTTTTAGACAATCAAAGTCCAGCAAACAATTTCGTCCAAAATGTTTTGTCCTTACAATAATAAAAAAATCTTTAGCTGGAACCCGATTGGCTAAGACCTTTTTCATTCCAACCAATCAGATTTCAGCAAAAGAGTTCTTCACTATCATAAGGGCAAAAACTATCGTTGTCTGGTTTCTCATGGGATTAGAAGAAGGTCTCTCTACAATGATTTGGTCAACATGATAGTGGATATCTATTAGAGTAGAGAAAAGCTCGAAATAAAATGAAATTTGCCTAGCACAGTCACTGGAACTTAATCTAAAGTGAATTAAGTGTTGACTGATAAAACGTAACTCAATTCTATCTTAAGTTAAGTAGTCGACTGCTATTCCTCACTATTAATTTTTTACATATATTCAGCAGCTTCATTGATCTTATCAGCTATAGTATGAAGTGGACCGCTATAAGACAGCGCATTTACACCAGTGTACTGTAGAGTCCGACTGTTCTAAAAAAATGGAACAAAAACTGAGCTAGAACCGGAATTTTCCAGTTTCTCTTACACGGAACCGTTAGAATCGAAAACTTTTTACTGATAATTAGGAACCTTTTGCACTGTTGTGTAATCTAAAGTTAGAGAGATCAGTCTGAGATTCCGCCAGCGATAAACGTTGCGTATTTATCACAGTTGGATGAAAACAGAATTCAAAAACAGCTAACACATTGATCAAGGTTCTTGAGAAGATCGAACATCTTCAAAATATCTCTTTTTCAAAACAAGGCACGATAAAACTCGCCCCTACACACTTTTATAATTATTATGGCTTAGATTCATGTCCCTATTAAAAGCGAGAGTTTTATCGTAGACAGGCGATTTTAAGTCGTAAAAAATCGTTTTTATGGAAAAAAGTTTGTTTTTCTTACAGCAGTTATTCATCGATACGTCTCCAATGATATTCTATCATAGTAAGAGGTGAACTCAAATATCTTTTTGTTTGTAAGCTTATGATTATAGCTACCAACTCTTCTAGTTTTTTTCAAAAAATGACTTTCAGCAAAGAAAACAAAATGTTATCAAAATTTGGCTTTTTTCATAAAACTTCTTAGCTTTATTGGAAAGTTTTTGACCTAATATGTGTCCCAAGATGATCAAAAGAAGAAAATCAAAAAGAAAACAGTTGTGAAAGTTACTAGATCCAAGTGTCTTCTGTAAAATGAAAAAGAATGTACTTTGTCAGTCGAATTGACTAAATATCACTGGAAATGCGATAGGCACAAAAAATGGGTGTTATAAATGTATTAAAATTGCTCAAGCTCACATTAAGAACAAGATATAAAGCTGAAACTTTTTTTATGTGTAACTAGACATCGCCAATATTTGTACGAAGTTCCAGCTGAATATGATTCTTTACCAACGAAAACACTGTACAACTGATTAACACTTATGATCGCCTCATTCTTTTTCATTGTTGTATTATCTTTCGAAGATATTGCTTTTCAAAAACTATAGACACTAAAAATCTCAAAAAATGAAACATAGAAAAAAAATTATATCAGTTATCTGGTATACCATTATATGATCACCGGTTCCAAAGATACTTTTTAAGGACCGAAATTGGAATCATTTTTCTCGTTTTCACTGACTGGCACCGCCGGCTTCTAATGCACTGGTGGTATGGTAACATTGTTGGGCGGTGCTCCGAGAGATGGTGTACTGGTAGTTCACCGTAATCGTTGCACCTCTACATATATTAACACATGAAGAAAAATTATTATTTATAGCAGACTGAGTGATTTACATTCAATGATCGAGACTAAATAAGCTAAACTACTCGCTGATTAGATGATATAATGAGAGTATTAGTAATTTACGCTAACACTTCAAACACCCAAGTTTTAAAGGGTATGGGTGGGGGTATGGATGTGGCCGTGATGTGTGTGCTGCTGTGCATTTCGTGCAGACGTGGATACAGATAATTTCTCGCCCACACTCACACTCACATACCTACATCAACACCTGCACCCAGACCCGTACCCTTTTGCGCAAGACCGTTATTTTTACGGTTTGTAGAAAACAATTTGTAAAAAGTCAGAAGCTTAATAGTTTTCGATGAGACTTGCGTCAAATGTCATCAAACTCTTGCTCCTATCACAAATATTAAATTGAGCAAGATCTGAAAACTTCGATTGAGCACACTACCTATGAATTGATCGTAGCTTACGTAGACTGGCTGATGTGTCCAAAAATGTGGTAATTAAGTCAGTAAGAGAATTTGGTACTACGCATTGGTCATAATTTTCTTGATATTTTCTATCACTTCGTTATTTTCCATGTGTGTGCCATAATCATCTTGAAGAGGACGTTGATCGAGTTGGTGCTTTCTCGGGAGTGCATTACCTTCGCTAGGTGCCAAAGTTTCAGCGAGTTTACCTGAAATAATCACGTACATAAAAATTTTGCACATTTTCATGATATTGTACCTTGCAAAATATGAGTATCACGTTGTAGTTTCGATAGAAAGCGACGAATACCACTTTTACTCTACTGTTTAAATACTTTAGTTGTCTGCGATTTGACAAAACTGAGGTTAGCTTCATCCAAAATTTTATTCCTACGATCACGACTGTCATCGATCTCGAACGAAGTATCATATGGGTTATAATTAGGATGAGTAAACGTTTCAACATCAATCATTGGAAGAATCAATTTCCTGTGTTTGAAGCACAGCCTAAATATATCAAAAAAGTTTTTATAAAATCTAAGATTAACAGTCACATAAGGCTCTCACCTTCCTCCAATAGGAAATCCATCAATCTGCCAACACTCCATTAAATTGGTTCTTCGACACTCAAGTGGTCTAGGACGCGGCTGCATGTTGTGACTAGGATGATGGTAAATGGTACTTTTATAATATCATCGTGTTCCAAATGAGTTCCTATGTTTTGGACAAATAACAACGTTATTGTGAATAGGAAGATTTTATAGTGGTAGACGATTAGCTATTAGATCCTTTTCGCTAATCATTATACGATGACGTTGCTTGTCCGATATAATATCTTTGCTTGTCAAATATTCTTCGACAAAAATCTTAGTAAGATATTAAAAAGAAACACACTGGACAGGTCAATTCACACGAGCTGCTTGTAAATGATCAGTTATTTTAATGAAATATTAAACTATGAAGTACTCACCATTAGTACTGGACCACAATCAGCTAAATCACTTACAAACGACAGATAGCAGGTGTTGTAGTCAATTATAGTTGATATTGTGTTCATAAAAGAAGTAGACGATGGATAACTTTCTTCCATCTTTTCAACTAAACTCGACGAAATCGTTAAAATTTTTTCTAGGGGTATTAGTTTCGGATTCCGTTCCTAGGAATCCAGAACGTGGAATGGCACTTTAGCTGTAAAAATACTTTAATAAAGTGTTTACAGCTAAGTGTACTTTAAACTTTAACTTTAAAACAATGAAAGTTAAAATAAAGATTTTTTCACTAAAAAAAGCGATTTTTTTTTATAAAATGTGACCAAAGGTAATCTGGTCGAGAAATTCGAATCTATAATCGGTTTCTCAAAATTTTGAGTTTCATTTTCTTTTATAAAAATTTCTATTTGTAAAAAAAAACATTTTTTTAAGAAATAAGCTTTTTTGCGAAAAAATTCAATTCAAAATTTCGAGAAACCAATTTCAGATTCTGGTTCCTCGACTTCGATTACCTTTCGTCAAACTTTATCAAAAGTCACTTTTTTCTTAGAAAAGCTTTATTTTAGTGAAAAAAAATCAAACTTAAAATTTCAAAAAACTTATTACGGATTCGGATTCTTTGACTACGAACACCTTTGGTCAAGCTGTATAAAAAATTATTATATTTGAAAAAACACTTTCCCTGATGAAAAAAAATCAAAGTTAAAATACCTCTCCTGTTTGAGATAGGAAAACTACTCACGCTGATGAGCATGAGCGTAAGCTGTACACTTCTCCTTAATACTTTATTTTTAAGAATTAAGTGGCGATTGCTAAACTTTTTTGTATTAATATTAAGTTCTAAGTAAGAACTTTAGACTTAATCGAAAGCTAAATTAAAAGGACCATCCCTAGGTTCCAGAACTCTTCCAGTCACATTATCTCTTGTAAAAATATCCGTTATTCCATTATTTTATCTTTATTTTTTAACGATAAAAGATTCATTTATCGTTATTCTTTATTACAAAGGACAGTAAAGATAAAGAATCACCCCTAATTCCGAATGATGAAACTGGCATTAGTTTTTACGAATTGGAATTTCCTCGATGAAAACTTTTTTTTTATAGAAAATATTTTATAAATTTGACTTTTAGGCAAATTCATTTTTTTAGATGAGAATATTCGTTTTCATGGATGAAATTGCAATGCATTAAAATTAGGTTTCTTTCATGATGATAATACCATCGACTCGAATTTTTAACTGGTTGGAATGTTGTCATGGCAGAAATAGAACACAGAGTGAAGCAGAGAGAAGAAAAACGGTGAACCGAGAATGACTGATGGCCAGTACACTAACAGAATTATTTATACGTGCTCGCGAAAGAGCGAGAAAGAAGAATAGAACAAAAGAAAAAAATGATGCAGAGAGTGATCGTTCACCGATGAGTGTATAACGATTGAATTCGTCTCATATATAATGCAGGAACGAAGAGTAAACAAATTTCACTTTGACCGAAACCAGGCAACACATTTCTGTGCCAGTTCATTTATTGAAGTATCACGTAATCAATTTTATGAATCTTACGTAAGAGTATACTCCATATATGCGACATATAATAAGGTGGAAACCATGTAAAAATTTCTGGTATCTAAAAGTGTTTTCAAATGCGATTTAACTGTGTTCGAAACGCTACAGAAACGCATCTGAACCCATCTAGAATGAAACACATCATGTGTTTAGATAGGTTTCTCAAACGTGTTTAAAAATACAATTGCGTTCGGTCGCGTTAAAAAACATAAACAAATCTAAACGCGTTTGGTTAATATTTCAAAAAAAGATCTTGTTCTTGCAAGATCACACTGCGTCACCATCAAAATTAAGCGATAGTCAGCTCTTTTCTAGAGGCACATGAATAGAACAAGTGCTGTTACCTAATAGGCACTACACGTAAGCTACGACTAACGTTACTCAATTGGTCTCACCGATTTAGCTGATATTTTTACAGTAGATAGATCGAGCAAAGTTAGAAAGAAACTAAAAATTTCAGCTCAAATAAATGAATTGTTCTGGAGATATAGACCTTGAAAGTATTGGTGCTCAGCCGAAATTGGAATATTTTGTAGCGCAATATTTTTCGGCAAATTTTCGTTTTTGAGTGTGGGCGTGGATGTGGTCTCCATTGAACGAACACCAATCGGGTGGGTGGGTGTGTATAGATATGTGGTGTGGTCTTCATTGAACGAACACCAAAATCTACACCCACCGTCACAGCTGCACCCACACCCAAACCCTACAAGGGTGCTGATTTGACTACATTTGCGCTCAGTGTTTTAGATTTTTTTCTTTTGCTTTGACAATTTGTGACTATTGGCACTTTAGGACTATATGAAATAAATCTTTCAATGTGCTGATATTTAATGAAAAAGATTGATGAATACTTTTTTAACAATCAAGTTTTGCATTTAGAACTATTCAACAGTTCAAATTTTCTTTCAGTTTGATGAATTCTTTCTGAAATAGTTATGCTTTTTTGCGTGCACCTGTCAAAAAAATAGTCGAGCTCGATATTTTTAGCTTATCATGATTCAGTTCATGACATACAGAGTGATAGAGAATTTCACATTCTGTTAGAATATATACTTACTTTTGTAATATTCTATCTTTTAGTCAAAGTAAAGCTCAGAAAATGTATAAAAAGAGAACAAGAAATGTAGTTCGGACGAATCTGTAGATGAGAGCATCTTTATTGTGCTAAAATTTTTTTATCAAACAAGTGCAGTTCAATATGTACAAATATGGAGCTGTAGAGAATTTCATGCGTTATCAGAATATATAATTACTTCTCCGAAAGCATTAATTTATTAAAATGAAATATTAAAAATATCGGATACAACTATTTCGTCCAAATGGAGACTTTCGATAAAAAAAACCACATATTGTTGAAAAAAAACAATAGAAAAATTCAATGCCACAATTTTTTGACAACGTCAGTCGATGCATTTTGATATGCTCTTTTCAATGAGACTGCTGCTTGAGCTATTCTGCTACGCTGATTCGACCAATTTGCCCTATACATGGTAAACATACTTTCGAAAAATGGTATATAGTTAGTACCAAGCAAAAATTAACTGAAGGCGAAGTACTTTTATTACCATGAATAGATAACCTATGTTCGATATTATCTATGGTGAAAAAATCTTGGTGATGACTTTTATTGTTCGTAAGAAAATGAAAATTGACTGAAAAGTATTGCACTACAAAATATTCCAACTTTGACTGCGTACCAATACTTTCAATATCTATATCTCCAGAATAGTTCATTCATTTGAGCTGAAATTTTCAGTTTTTTTCCTAACTTTGCTAAATCTATCTACTGTAAAAATATCAACCGAATCGGTGGACTGATTGAACAAGATTCTACTGGCAATGGTCGTGGCTTAGGTGCAATGCTTCCTAAGTGTGAAACATAAAACTGTGAGGTGAAGTCGGCTAGAATACAAGAATTTATAATCGTTTAACAAGATACGTACTCTTGAGCTATATCACTCTATGAGTCTAACGTAAACATAGATGCATCTGTTTTAACTGATCATGTGTGATACATGTTTGCATCTGACTTCAACAAAACAAAAAAAGAAATAATAAAAATAATTGTTTTTATTTGTATCGAGTTCAACTCAGATAAAGAGAAATTTCAATGCGGTTCATTTAAAATGTTATTGGTGAGGTATTAATCATCTTTGAATTAATTTGACGAATTCAATAATTCTTTTTTTTAATAATTGATGAGTATTTCTCGATATTCTATGGAGTCTAATCAACACCTAGAATCAACATAGCTTGTGAGAAATTGATTTGAATTTACATTTTTAAGTCGGCTGACTTATTGCTTTTCACTTGCTTAATTGCCGTGCCAAATTCTTTTTCTTCTTCTCAACACATGAGTCACGATTCAAGTCAGCCACTTGTTCTCAGCTCCTGAGTATCATTTTCAGTCGAAAAAAGCCTGGCGACATCTTGAGAACGTGACAAGTGCATATCTGAAATTTGTTTTTCGAAATTCGACAGCGTTGAGGAGATATAAAGAATGTCAAAAAATGATAATTAACAGTTGATAGGTTCCTTATATGGTTATAGATGATTTAGTCTTCAACAGACCACTGATATCTCAGATCCTATGTGCACATATAGTTTAATTATCATTTCGCACGACTTAAATTCATCTATGAAGCAGTCTCAAACGTTTAGAAAAATCTTTTCATGGTTTATACATATACGATACAAAGAACGATAATGAACAACTGAGAGTTTCCTTATATGGAAATCTATGATTCACATTCATTATCTCTCACTAGTCAGCTGAACTAAGATGGCTGAAGACGACTGAAATCCATTATGATTTCTTCTACATGAGTCTAGGATTTCGAAATAGTAGATGTCGTATAGAATCATATTTCTATACACTTACGGATACATAGTATTTGATTAATTTTGTGAACATATAACTTTTTCTAAAAGATGATTTACTTAATTAAGAAGTAAAGCCCGAATGTGATTATGTAAAGACTATTATTTTCAAACTTGTTATGCATGAAAATAAAATTGTATCCGATATTGCTATATGCATGTTCGTATATTTGGAATAGACTATCTAAATTGAAAATCCCAAGCGAGTTTATACATTATACTGGTAGGATCCTTCATTGAAGAGCGGATACTGCAGTAGATATTCTTATTGGGAACAGTTCTGCATTTTCATAAGAAAGTTCAATGTTTTTATGTACAGTAATATCAATCGAGTTTTGCATTAAAACACAAAAAACAAACTTTAAAAATAGGAAATGACATTGCTATTCGTAAAAAAATTACACTAAATAAATTGTTGCTTCAGAAAGATAGATAAAAAATTTTTCGTTCGTTTCTATTACGCTAAAGCAAAAGTTCATCTACTATCATCAAGATTACACTCTAACATAAAATGTGTCGCATTTATATGTTGTGAGTTATTGTGTCGTGCATCCCAGCATAGCAATGTGTCGTGCTTAGAATGTGTTATATACGAATTTGTCGTGTTCTCTTTGTTCACTATTCATTCACCGTTTTTGTTATGCACGCACAGCCATATATAAGCAACACGGTTGAATACAAGAAAGATAAATATTTCCACAATCATTTTTTTAGATTATTTCTCGATAATTTATTAGTCGAGAAAATGCCACTCTCAATCAATATGCGAGAGAGGACTACCCTGAACCGGTCTGCAGAGATCGGACCAACTTGAGGCTGGAAAGATTCCAAGATGTAACCTGCTTGAGTTTTCAGAACAGAAATAATTATAATAGAATTAAATTGAAAAAAATTCATAGTATGCGTTTTCAGAAGAACCAATAAAAAATGTGTCGCATGTGTCGTACGAAATGTGTCGTGCATTGTGTCGTAAACCACGACACATGCGACACATTTTAACTTAGTGTGTAGATCAATAAATTAATTTTTATATAGAAGTTTCATACGTAAAGCCTTGACTACTCATAGAACTTGTACTTCTGCTTAACTTGATTTTCATATTCCTAACAAAACATCTCTGAAATAGTCAAATACTTATTTTAGCGATGCCATAAGCGGGAAGACGACAAAGGTTCATCAATGTCGGAAAATATTTTAGCAATCAAAGTACAGATGTTAATATTAATAAACATGCAACTGCTTTAGAAATTGATAATCATAAAGATCTTATTGCTTGTATAAGAGATACAATTCCCAATACAACCCAACAAGTGATACAATACTTGTACACTTCGAATTTTTTTTACTATGGCTGCACACAGAAATATCTTAATCTTTACGAAAAGTAATTATAGGTAAAAGTACTTTTCATTCAACATAATGATAATTTATTTTCTTTTTTTTTACTGTATTTGACTGAATCCCAAAAAGGTTCTATCTAAAATCATCGATTAAATACAGCGAGAGTGTGGGTGTGGGTGAGTGTATGTTGTTAAGCTTCTCTACAGCCACACCTTGCAGCTTCAGCCCACCCACACTCATGCCTATTCACACATTGTACGATTACATTTAACTCAGAAAAATGGAAAAGGTTATATTCGTTAAATAAAGTATACCATTTTGTGTAGAATTTCAAGTACTATCTTTAGATTAAAAAAGTGCGTCAATCAAAGAGATAACAGAGGAGAAATTTCGAAAATACAAACAGGATAATTCTTTGTGCGTCACCCGTTATTTAATGATAATTTAATTGGGAATATATGTTCGACGTCAATTCTATGCTTAGAAGTATCACCGAAGAAGTTTAACTTATAGAATGCCTGTAATGAACAGTTTATACTATAACTGTTAATGACAAAAAATATACGTGCATATCCACTTCAGTATACACTCCCAGCGTTATGTCTCACACGAAAGAATTGATTGTGTCATGGAGGAAAGAAAATTAAACAAGCTGTACTTAAACAGAAACTATAAAATTACGCTTCTATGCCAGTATACTTGTTGAAGTATCGCGTAATCATCATTGTGTGTCTTACACAAGAGTATACGTAAGATATACTACATATAATGGATTCGCTGATGACATACGTAACACTTGAAAAGAAATGCATATGTAATCAGAAACACAGCATATATATATTAAATTCAATATTCTATTCAAAATGATTGAAACAACAATAAATAACGTTCAAATTCATGTTAATATTGGATTGAGAAGTGACTGATTTTCGAAAGTTATAATGCTACATTGAATTCAAGGAAAATCGCAACAAGTGTCTGCATCATTGTATATGTATGAACTCAAAAATGTTATAAAACACAGGCATGGAACTCGTTGAGTCCTCTCAACCGGGTCGGATGGGCCGGTTAAAATTCTTAATTTAACAGGCAAAAAAAAACGCCGAATACTGATTCGTTTAATCAATCTGTTGATGAACTTGTTCTTTTGAAGAAAAGTTTTAATTAGGGGTCGATGAAAACATAAAATGTGTGAGTCATGTAACTCTTGAAGGGTGTGAATGTGTACGAAAAGAAGGCCCAGCAAATTTTGTGCTCATACACCTACCCACTCCCTCAAGCAGTCCAAAAAAAAGTGATCTCGAAACTTTGAGGTGAAAAATTTAGTTTGGATCGAATTTAAGTTCCAATGGATAGATAAGTTTCCGAATTATAATCAATACAATTAGTATGATCCAAGCCTCTCATTGTGCAACGAGGAAGTGCGATCTAGAAATTTAGAACTAAAATTTATGATAACCGCAAATTTGTTAGATGGAAACTCTTGAGTACATATTTCAGGATGGTTGAAACCATCAAAATCAATAAACACGAGTAAAATACCCTAGCTTCGCTGCCCTAACAATTGATAAAAAAAACGGTAAAAACCTGGCGTAAACTGTCCAAGTGTAAAATTCAATCAGACGAGATCTGTACCTGGTAACTAGTAAATTAGTCACTCTGGTTCCAAGCTTGGTAAAAGGTAAATGACTTCGTTTAGTTTATAACATCAGAATTTATTGAAATTATAAGAGACAAGTTTTGATATTTTTCAGAATTCTGATAAAGATTAAAAATGAGTGTACATTGAACGTCAAACGGCTATTGCGTATTGTTAAATTCCGAATAAAATGGAAACATGGCAAAATGAGAAAGGACTAAGCATATATTAAATCTATTATATGAACACAGGATCATCTTTCAACCATTGCAGCATTGATCTAATGAGCAAGAATTTGACAATATTTCTTTATAATGAATATGAAAAATCTGTTAGCGCCAAGAAACAATTTAGGATGGATCTGCTCCAAAAAATTATTGAATTTTGAGGAACTTCATATTTGCATAGTATCTATTCACCAAGTGCCATTGTTTACAATGTTGCTATGTAAAAGCTTTATTAGTTATGACGAGTACTAGATCTCTATACTCGTCGATATAAGAGCGACTATTAGGTCTTTTCTTAGTCGGATTAGCATGAGAACCCAATATTCGTGCCGATCTATCAAATAGTTTTGCGTTTTATCCAGTACTGTTTTCAAAACAAATACGATAAACATTTTGACTTTAACTGAAAACATTTACTTAATAAGGAGAAGAAGAATAACTTTTAACAAAGACTGTATGCATAAATTATCGTACGAGTTTTCTAGTCTCACGCTCATATATTTTCCAACAGATAAAACCTCAAAATTAGGATAGAGCTCAAGATAATAGGCTTGTAATCTTTTTAAACTCTATCGCCTTCATATGGACTAAATTATCAATTTTGAACTTCTTGCATTATTTAAATTCTTTCAACAATTATGAACATGCTTCACAATATCAACTAATGGATGAATAACAGCATTAGAAAGAAACAGTCATTTCTATTTTAACTAAAGAAACAATATAAGTAGGCTTAAATTTCAGACTCCGGCGTGGACAAATAACGTTCTATTATTCGGTCGATTCTTTTATATAAACGATTGACACGATGTGTGAGACGTTCATATTTGTTGAGGTAATGCTGCATTGTGCGTTGGTTTGGAATGCTTTGTACCTTTTGAAGACCACAGGCAAGTCGTCGAACAATCCGTGGTCGGTAGAGACGCCTCTGATATCGTTGTTTACGTGGTAAATTTAATGAAATCGGTGATAATAGAGGATCATCAGACTGATCAGTTGGTGGCGTTGGAGGAACTTGACGATCAGTGGAACCAAATGAATCATTCTTTAATGCGTTCGGTACCGTCATTGTGATGGTTTGTTGTGCAATGTGATAGCTTGAGAATTCACTGTCTTGATCGGACGTACAAACTGATTGTAATTCAGGTTGTATAAATGAATTCTTAGATAATTCTGAAGTCAGCTCACATCTGGGGAAAATTCCCGAAGCAAGAATGGTAATCAAGCATTTTGATTCATTTTGAACATCTTCTGTAATAATTACATCACTTTCTCCTTTTTTTGTTTCGTGTAACTGATCGGGCAAGTCTTCAGTTACAAGTTCTTTTTCTTTGAAGTCGTTTGAACTAGATCTCTCATCATAAGCCATCAATCGTTGTGGTGATAGACAGTGATAATCATCTTGCAATATGTCTTGTTCATACCTAAAATTAAAGTAAACAAGTTTAAGCTAAAGTAATTATAATGTTTAGATAACATCAATCATGTAAGTCAGAATAAGAGCATGATAAAACTAAGATTAGTTATAAACATTGTGTTGAAGATCTATATACAACTATCGATGAAATACGCTTCTCAATATTACTACAATAGCCTAATCATTAAGCTTCCAGAAACTTACTGTTTGGTGCGATGACTGAAAAACTTGTTAATTCTTTCAATAGCTTGTGTAAAAGAGATTTTACGATAAATCTTTGCAACTTGGCGCGGGATATGTCTATTATTTAAAATGTAAGTGACATATCGTTGATATTTTCCTTGAAATCGACCTTTACATTCAAATAGAACACATTCCTCTTCTAGACCGATATTATACCAATGAATATCCATAAGTACTGTGTGAAAGCAAAGTTTTCCTAAAAATACCATCGATAACAAATATATAAATCAATGGTAAGAGAATTATTATGTCTTACCGTAGTATCAATACTCCATACAAATAAAATATGATCGTTATGAGAACGAACACAATTTCATATGCCTTTCTTATTTTGATGGCACATAAATGATGGAAGCGATAGAAGATTGTCTCCTTCTGATACAAAGAGGACATATAATTCTTTTTCTTTCTTTCTCATATTTTTTCATTTTCTCTGTCGTTACCATCAGTGACCACTTAAATGCAGCTGCTTGTTCTAATCGTATGATTGGCCATGCTATTGTTCTGCGATGCACAAAAGACGCGTGTGTTGGGTGTAAGTGTAGGTGACACCCACTCTCACATCCCTTTCAATATCATGAGAGCAAGTGTCTTTTGGGATCAAATATCTAAGGAACATCTGCCTGGGATGCAACACTCATGTTACCGACTTCAGTTGCAGTTTCAAGCATCTATTGGTTGGAAAGCTCAAGCTGTTTCTAATGGGAAGGAATCCATAAGAGACATTATAATTCCAAAAGACTTCAAATATCCTAGCAGATTTCGCAACACTTCCAATGATTTCAACAAATATCGACTGGCGCGAGAAGCTCCATGTAATTTCTCTAATGTTATAAAACTGGTGGGTTTTAATTTATGGACTATATTGGGTTCTAAGACAGCCCTAATAGTTAGTTAAGAGTTTCTGTTTGTGAGCACTTTTGAATAAAGTCTGTCCATGTCGTCAATTTTCCATCAAAACTGATGGTTCGAACAGTTTCCGCCTTTTTTATCAATTTTTAAATAATTTTATTACTAAATTAATATTTTCAACCTTGAAAAAATCGATTTTAACTCATAAAAGTCCATATCAATATACCACAGTTAGAAGTGTAAGCCAAGCGGCTGAGCTGCCAGCGCCGCCGATTTTTCGATAAAATTCTCAGCCGTCTCGCCACTGAAAGCAAAAAAAAAATTTAAAGACATTCAGTCGCCACCGTGACACAAAAAAAAGACTCAATTTTCGAAAACTTGCGTCACTCAGCATCACTCTTCGAGAATGTTCTTGTTATAAAGAAAAGTGAAAACAATTTGATTTTCCCTAGCTTTTTACGATTTAAAATTAATTATCAAATGAAATCTATCTTTAAAGCTGAAAACCAATTTTTAATCAGCTCAATCAGGAAATGATCAATTTTAGCCAATTTTTTTCACCCCTTTTTTGTATAAATAAGTACTTTTTGGTAAAGTAATCCGAAGTAGGGCATGCGCATCAAAGGATGGTCTAATGTTGTGTTTACCGTTTGTTGAGTCGAGAAGTCTGAGAAACTTAGAAAATCTGAGTTTCGAAATTAAAGCTCGAAAAAAGTGCACTTTACAAACATCGGAATCAAAATTGATCAGATATTGAATAATCTGATTTAAGAAGCCTTCCAGAATTGATTTATACTTAGAACGGATCGTTTGGGCTGAAATTTCTAGGAGTGAATGGTCCTAGTCAGAAACGATTGTGATAAAAATTTCAGTCTGATATACCCTACTAAACCAAACTTTCGGTCTGTTTTTATAGCTTCCAGGAGAATCGAAATAACTTCATCATTATAAGAGGTACAGACCTTGGGCTGGTTTCAAATTAAAGCTAGTCTCTATGGACAACTTTTCATCGAACAGAATTTTGAAACTTCCTTCCATTCATTTTTTATGAGCATTTTAGCGGACATAGTGTTCAAAATAAGCATAAAAAAGGTGACTCGATCGACAGTAAATCATACTTTTCTCAGTCTAGGAATCAAGTATTAAAAATCCGTCCGATGAAAAGTTAGTTCTCATTCAGACCTTTAAAACAAAAAAAGCTATCGGTTATACTCTGAGCCGGATGGGGGCGACCCAAACAGATAAGATTTTGGAAAAAAGCGTTCAAACGCACCAAATGAGAACTACGATTGTGGCCTATTCATGTTGATTAAGAAAACGCAAGAAACCCATTTTTTGCGCAAAATTTTCTCTTTCAGAGAGTGAAAACGACGAAAAATACAAAAAATGAGCCTTAAAACGCATTGTTTTTTGAATTCTGGAATAAAAGTACGATTTAACGCTCATTTTTTGCATTTTTTCGAGAAATTGAGTTTTCTAAGGAAGACTCCCTTAGACTAGACTAAATTCAGGTTTTTTTTTCTTTATTTTACATGAGTTGTCTAGTTTCTTGTCAATCAGTTCTCTACTAGCATTTTCTATTCTTTTCATTTTAAAATATCTTCAAACCAAGGAAATTTTTAAAAATGTCGTCAAAAACGTCGAGTCGCCGCCAACTAGCTGTACCTCTCAAACTGCAGCTGCCTTGAGCAAAAAAAATTTCTTTTTTTCAACCATCGCCGAAGAGTCATCGAGTCGAATCAACCGCCACCAAACGTTTAAAAAAATTAAAACTTTTCTACTGCCACCATCGATCAACTCATCGGCTTACATCTCTAACCACAATAAATTGTCTCAAATAGCGCCACTAATTTTTCTATTGATTAAGTCATCTAACGAATGGCTATCTTTATGACGTCATCTTTAATGAAAAACCTAACTTGAAAACTAAGTAAATACAGCTAATGTGGCTGGTGCAAGGTTCCAGATTAAAGGGGAGCAGGGAGAAGCTTTTCCTCCAAAATTTCAGACTTTCTGCCATCATTTTTGATAATACTTTCTGCAAAATTTTTAAAATTCAGTTCAGCAGAAAACTCCTGGATTTGCTGGAATAAAATTAAACCAAAAATGCTTTCTGTGAAATTTCTCACCGAAAGTCGATGTTATTTCTGCCAAATTTCTTGCAGAAAATCGCCCAACCGACCATCCAATAGGTATTTCGACACCTCGGTTTTCCGCTGTCGATGTCTTCTAAGATATCCATCACCGAGCCCTCGACCCATCAGAAAATGGCACTTTGAGCTCTCGATTTGAAATTCCGATGGGTAAATCTTGTGTCCCAGATAGCGCCACGATGCATGTTACGAAAAACTTCGATCCCATGCTTCTGCTAACTATCAAGGTACTCACCATCTAGCCCTTGACCCATTGGAATTTCAAATCGAGAGCTCGAAGTGCCATTTTCTGATGGGTCGAGGCCTCGGTGTACCTCTCGCACGTCTTTTTTGGCTCTCTTAGGCGATTTCATTTCTGCCAAATCTCTCCAAAAAATTTGAATATGTTGATTGAAGGGTGAGTGTGGCTGCGTGGGTGTGTGGGTGTGGGTGTGTGGGTGTGTGGGTGCGGGTATGAGTGTGTGGGTGTGGGCGTGGGTGTGTGGGTGTGGGCGTGGGTGTGTGGGTGTGGGTGTGGGTGTGTGGATGTCAATCTTGTCTTCATCCACACCCACAATCACACCCACACTCACACCCACACTCACACTCATACCCGCACCCACACCCACACTCACACTCATACCCGCACCCACACCCACACTCACACTCACACCCCAGGTTAGAATCGCAAGAGAAACTTCAGAAATAAAGATGAGCAGGTTTTTAGAAGTGATTTTTATTTAGGGCCATTTTGTGAACAAAGTGTCCCCCGTCCTTTATTAAGTACAAGCTTGGAACTGCTTGAATTTTCTCAGCTAACTTAGTGAAATTTTTGACTTAACCAGAAAAAAAGTCAAAAACTGGTCCATTTGATATATTTATTCACCAACTAGTACTTTTGAGAAAACGTTTTCTTTATAGGTCAATGAAAATATACTGTGTAAAATCCAAATAACTCTTGAAATTCTTAATAGTAACAACTTTTATTGTATTACTCCATGCCAGAGCCCTTCATCGGGTCCAAAAACGACTTGCTGGGCCCGGACAAAGAACTGTCAACCGTTCCATCATTTTTTGTGCTAATACATTATTCAAACGTTCATTTTGTAGAGCAATACTTTCTCTTTCACCTCATCTATTTAGAAAAGCATTAAAGCTCATGATAGTCAAAAGTGTTTAAAAGAAAAATTCCGGATCTGAACTTTCCGGATCCGAGCGGGTTCAAGTTTGAACCCGGACTTTTTCTGTTAAAAAATTTCCGCTATGAAGGGCTCTAATACTTCTCTAAATGGATGAGGTGAAAGAGAAAGTATTGCTCTATAAAATGAACGTTTGAATAGCGTATTAGCACAAAAAATGATGGAACGGTTGACATTTCTTTGTCCGAGTCCAGCAAGTCGTTTTTGGACCCGGTGAAGGGCTCTACCCTACGCTCCAAAAAGCTAATACTATCACCAAAGGAAGAATGCTTTCAAAATTGTTCATGTAGTAACTCATAACTACCGATATTAGACAACCTATATGCTGTTTTTTGACTAGTTTTTGTTTTCCAAACAAAGATATAATTTTCTTACGAGAATTCACAAGTTTGACGTTTTGTTATTAGAAATCACTATTTAACTGAACTGAAAGACTTCTCAATTTGTATAAGGTTACTAATGTATATAGAAAGAATAAATGAGCTACACAATTGGATTTTTATACTAGATTTCATATTTTTAGCTTTCTTGATATCTAGATACTTTCGAAGTTGCAAGAGACTAGCAGCCAGCGATGTCCATGGCGATGACGGCAGGCTTTTTCCTGCGGACGATGCAACAATGCATGAATTTAAACAAAATTTCAATGTCCACAGATGCAACACTCTGAGATTCGACGAATTTCATCGGTTAGTGACAATAGTTCTAGTCCAAATTAGTTGCAGCCGTGAAATTCAAAGTATTTTTTTTAACAACCAGGTAGCAACGGTAAGTTGCGGCATTGGCAAGTTTTCGATTGCGATGGACATATTCAGAGAGGTAATCGGTCTGAATTTTTGACGACTGGTACCAGACCGACCGGTAACTGGTACCGATTCCATCTCTGGACATTTCCACTAGCAGCTAGCAAAGCGTTCATAACAAAATGAAAAAATTTCTAATATTCTTGTGATGAAAACATGAACTGAAAGCTACTAGACAATGAAAGTTTTTAATAGTTGCGGAAAGGTAGTTCAGAAAAGTAAGCTTGAAACTTCGGCGTGGAAAATCTTTGTTTTAGATTGAATTTATGTCCTAATGAATGGCTAAACTTTCTAATCATAACCAGCTCATTCAGTAAGATCGAAGACCTGCATTGTACAATGGCAACTGGAAACTTGTCAGTTGGAAACTTTCCAAATAGTATTTCTCGATCGTTAAAACACTGAAATCGATAAAAATGAGCACAATAGACTAGCTTCACGGCCCTAAATATTGATAAGAAAAACATTGAAAATTGACCGATTTGACTCCAAGCCTAATAAAACTCAGATGACTTTGTTCATTTAGATAGTATCATGATTTATTCAAATTAAAAGAGTCAAGTTTTGCAATTTTTCAGTGTCTTAACAAAATATTGAAAATGAGTATACATATTACATCATGTTTCTAGTGCCTCAATTCAAAGACTAAAGGAAATACGAACACTCGACAGAGCGAAGTGTGTGATATCAGGTTGGCATATAAGTTCCGCACGTTTGAATCAGTAGAATTATATTGCCAATATAAAACTCCATTTTAAGAAGAATAATTATATATTCTGATGGCGCTCGGAATTCTCTAGTACCCTGTGTATTTAGATCTTGACTTGCATTTATTTGCTGAAAAATATTTCGATTACAGTGAAGACACCCTCACCCACATTGACAATGTTTGAAATATTTCTCAGTAAATAAGTTCAAGTCAAGACTTGAATATATAGAGCGATAGAGCATTTCAAGAGCTCTCAGAATATATAATTACTTATCTAAAAGATGGATTATTGTATAGATAAAAATTTTAAAAACACATGAGAAAGGGACAGAAAATGGAGCTCGTGGGGCTCTGATGGTGAGGACGTCATCACTTTATTCGAAATATTTTTCAGCAAATAAATACAAGGCAAAACTTAAATACACAGAGTGATAGAGAATTTCGAGTGCTATCAGAATACATAATTAATTTCCTTAAAATGTAGTTTTATATTGGCAATATAGTTCTACTGATCCAGACGTACAGAACTTATGTTCCAATCTGGTAAGTCTATTTGGCCACAGAATATTTCAGTCATTGTAACATTGGACTAATTTCAGAAAAAAGTTGAAAAAATGTTTCATAATGAATATGAAAAAGACCTTGGTATTTGATTAACTTCAACAAGTTAATCAATTAGAATTCTCAGAAAACTCATAGTTGCATTGTACCGATTTAGTGAGTGGAATTTTGCTAAGTATAAGCTGTATTAGTTATAAAAAATATTAAATTCGGTATTCTCCTATTTAAAAACTATTATCTTGCCTTTTGTAAGCTGAATTACCATGAGAATTCAACAAATGCTTGTAGTTTTTCGGAAGCTTTTGCTTAAGATAAATTATGACAATAAGATTCCAACCAAGACTGTATGCAAATAATATTATAAAAGTTCTCTAGTCTCATGTTGACATATTTTCCAATAGATATGAATTCGAAACTAGGACTTGCTAATCAGCCGATCTACATGAATCACTCGTTAATACATCTGGTGTCATGAATAGGGCAGGTTCGTGTGCAATGTGCTCATTTGAGAATTTACTGTCTTGATCGGATGTACAAATTGATTGTAGTTTGAATTGAGTAAATGAATCCTTGGATGATTGTGAGGTCGATCGACATCTGGGAAAAATTCCTGAAGCAAGGAACATTTACATTAAGCATATCAATTTCTCTTTTGCTTGTTTAGTTAAAGTAATCTGATAAGTCTACAGTTACATGGTCTTTTTCTTTGAAACCATTTGATCTAGGTGTCTCATCATAAGTCATCAATAATTGTGGCAATAGAAAATGATAATCATCTTGCTCATAGCTAAAATTAAAATAAACAAGCTTGCGATGGTATTAGATAATAGCATGAGAGTTTAATAAAAATATCATTAGTTCTAAATATTATATCGAAGAACTAGGCAGCTATCGATGAAATACACGCCTAAATATTACTACAATAGCCTAATAACTGAGCTTCCAATAGCTTATTGATTGGTGCGATGAGTGAAAAATTTGTCAATTCTTTCAAAGAGATTTAATAATAAATCTTTACAACTTTGTGCAATATATATGTCTGTTATTCAAGATGTAAGTCATATATCATGAATAGTTTCGTCAAAATCGACTTTTATTCTCAAATAGAATACATTCTTTTTCTATACCAATATTACACCAATGAATATTCATGAGTAGTGTGCGAAGGCAAAGTTCTTCTAAAAATATTATCAACAACACATATATTAGTCAATGGAAAGAGAATAAGATGTTTCATCATAGTATTAATATTCTGTACAAAAAATAATGTGGTCGTTATGAGAACGAACATGATTTTACATGTCTCTGTTATTTTATTGGAGCATATATGACAGAACTGAACATAACTCGTCTCACTCTGTTATAAAGCGGTCATACGATTATTTTTCTTTCTTTCTCTTCTTTTTTTTTCATTTTCTTATGAATTCATACAAGTGACTGTTTGAATACAACTGTTTTTTTTTCTGATCACATGAGTGGTCAAGCTATTATCCTATGGGGTATTGAGGAGGCATGTATCCTTGTTATAAGCTCCAAATGGGTTCATGTCAGCTTATTATTCCTCATGTTTGTTCATTGGAGTGGGTGTGAGTGCAAGTCTTTCTTTTACCTGATGTCTGTTAAAAAAATAATAATCATGGGTATTTTTGCAATAACACAAGGACTGACAGAACTACAGAGCAGCGATTTTCATCAATCGAAAGAGGAAGCATTGGAACGTCTTTTTCTCCAATATTATATAACACAAAATCAATCACTTCTACAAAACATTGAAAACATGCATAAAAACAGTCTGTTATTCGGATGAAATTTTGTTTTTGATATGTGATTTAGATAGAAGAACTTCAGACCTATGGTTCAAGATATAATTCGAACGATTATCTTCATACATCCTAATGTTGAGCCAAGGAAACTATCTATTTAGACTCTGGAAAAATATGAATTTTTCTTAATTTTTATCAAAATTTGATTTGAACGACCGATTGTTTTTGTACATTTTTTCCGTGTTTTGTAAAGATGATTGATTTTATAATGATTTCATCTTATATAATATTGAAGAAAAAGATGTCTCGATGTTTTCTCGTTCGACTGATGAAAATCGCAGACTTGTTCGTTCTTGAGTTATTGAAAAAATACTCATGACCGTTATGTTTTTTAACAGATATTAAACCCTCACATCTACACCCTCTCTCCTCGCCATTTGATGATGATGATCAATGTCACTTGTAAATCTTAATCGATCGTCACCTTCTTTCTATCACTTGACGATTGAATTATAGTTATCTTCGCAAGTTTCTCTTATGGTCGAAGCTCAGTTCATAAATATGTCGAATTTCAATGTTATCTTCAAACATATCTTTCGTTAATTTCCTTATTTCTTTTCGATAAAAATACATTATTATAGCACATACCAATGCTCTCATGTCTACATGCTTGCTAATAGTTCTATTAACAATATCGTCGTGCAACACAATATGTTGACTTTATTTGTTACTAAAATTGTCGTTCGTTTTTTGTTTTTCCTTCTGGTACCTGCCTTTTTTGCTTCCACTTGTTATGTCTATTCATATGACCTCTTTTGAACTTGTGTTATTACTTTTCTCTTTTGTTTATATGTCTTGACACTGTCTTTCTAGTTACTATTTACTGTAGAACAGATACCGATGAATGTAAGCCAATATACACTCTTCGGCGAATCCAGAAAAATAGAAAAAGACCCGTCAAAATCATTTTTTCTCAAAAAACTAAGCATAACTTCAATAAAATGAAATATCGAGACGATAGGTGTGCAATTGAAGGTTCATGATTTTTTTTTCTAAAAAACAGAAATATACTTCACAGAAAAGCGCGTTTTACGAAGACTTTATTTGGTTCTCATCAAAATACCTCTAAAAACTTTGTAGAAAACAAAAAGCTTTTTTTTCTTTCTTTCAGTTGGAATAATTTACTACTTTTTTTGTATAGATAAATTTGTGATATTTCGATTTTTGAGTAGTGTCACTATCCTTTGTTTTTCTGATCACAGATCAAAGTCTATGCATTTTCTACTACATGATGAACTCGTGAAAGAGAAAAACTGAAATGAATCATGTTGATGACATATGAATTTTGTACTGAGAAAGCAACATGTTGTGATGGAATAACAATCTGCGTTTGCATTTTTTTATTTATTCTTTGAGAAGAAATGAATAATGTTGAAAGATTGCGTTCTATGTGTGAGATGAATCAATGTATTATGTCGCAATGATGATTCAATTACATTGAAATATATAAAAGAAACAACTTCATCACGAAACATATTATTTCTATTCAATCAAAATGAGTAAAATACCTGCTAAGAAAGTGACTACTTTCAAAAGTAGCTCTTCGCCAACAAAGAAACCAATTGCGAATACTGCAAAGTCACCACAAATAGTCAATACAACGAAGAGTACAGAAGAAATATTAGCCACACCGGTTGATAAACCAGAAATACAGATTGTCAAACAGGTCAAAATGAAAGAAGTTCTTCCAAAGGAAATGGAAAAATTAGAAAACTTGAAAGAATGGCCAATTATTATGGATGAAGTCGGTAAGTTAAGGATAAATTTAATAATTGAAAAAAGGAAAATAGCTGTGGGCATGGATGAAGAAAAGACATACATCCTCTCATTTTTATTTATTCTAGGTAATTTAAAAACTTTCTATCGTCTGAATGAACTTGTGATCGATTTCAATACTCCTCTCACTACATAACGTGTACAAACTGCTCTTCAACGTGCATTTTTTGGTCTCACTTTCAATCCAGACGGATCTATTAATGATCATCGTGAATATACTATTCCGAATAATGCCAATCGACTGATATCCATCATCATGGAAGATAATCCTATTGAGAAATGTGTAGAAGAACTACGCAAAGTGTGCACTCAACTTCATCCAGATCTATTCGATACGATTTTCAGAAAAGCCGATGTTAAAGAATCAGGACGAGATAATCTCGATCGTCTCTTTGTCATGACTCAAACACCCGATGAAATACGTAAAACTGACTATTATCAATTTGGAGCTAAGAATCGAAGTCAAGTACCTTTCATATGTGTATGGATTACCCATCTTACTGAAATACCATCCGCCTATGATAATCTCTTTGGGCAAAGATTCAAATTGAATTACGATTGAGATATTATTCATGACAAGCATAACAATATTTAACAAACCAAAAGATGCTGATATGCAGAGAACAGAGCATCTTAATGCTAATTAAAAAAACAGATGTTTATTTCAGACTGATGAATAAATATTTAATAGAATTGAAGTTGCTCTTAAATGTTGCATTTTCAAAATTTGAAGTTTCTATATTAACTTGAAAAATGTTATTGAATTAAAGAAGATGAATTCATTAGAGTTCGACGTTTGATGTATTTTTAATTATTGAATCAAACAAGAATAATCATTGGTGCAATCAGACACATACAAATTTCCCATACTATCGAATGTCAAGTCAATCGGATAAGAGACTTGATTTTTCGTATCACCTTCTCCATTGTCATTAGCTATTACACTGATGTTTTCGCCATCATCAACTATAAAATGCATTATCCTATGGTTCTCTGTATCCACTGTACCAAAAGCATCAAACTGATTGAGTTCACTGCCTTGTCCATTGCCACCAGCGACGATGATTTCTTTACTTGATCACAATGTGAAACATAAAAATGTTCTTGATTAACATCAAAAGCGACACTAGTTGGATGTGAATTTGAAGAGAAAAGAGTTTAAACCGATGTATCTCCTTTTCTCCAGCGTATAACACGATAGTCTTCGCTACTAGTATCATCAGTGATAGATAAAGTGCCTTTTCCGGTCAACAACAACACTTGTTAGTAGCTCAAATCCGGTCACAATCGTACCATTCGAGGTGCCCCGATCCCATTTTATTACTCGACCATTAGCAGTGTCAACAATGATCTCTTCATTGTTTGAATCGATAAACAATCCTATTGGACAGAACAGTTGACTGAGAGTATTCTCTTCATCTTTGCCACTAGTAACAGTTTTTCTGTCTTGCGACCATGTCGTAGCTAATGTATATACTAGCACATACTGTTAACTTTGCTCAAGTTTATTGGTTTTTTTTCTAAGTTTTCTGTCATTGTTCGCATTGATATCACTCCCTTGATAGAAATCCTTGACAACGACTGAACGAGATATTAGGAAACTTTTAGTCCAAATACATCTTGTTAAATAAGAGTAAAAGTCGTTCTAAACTAAAAATGATCTCATGTTTCGTTTATGGTTACATATCAATTAGAAGAACGAAGATTGAAAGAAAATGGGGTCTTTTAAAATTTGTAATCGATAAAAACGACATTATCACAAGGATAATTGAAATCAATCGAAAAGTCTTTGAGAATATTTTTTTCGTTTTCTAATGATGTCTAGTTTTTTCTAGTAGCTTTTTATTTGATAAAAACAGGACTCAAAATTACCGAAAATCATTTAGTAGCAGAATCACTAAAAAAAATAATGTCGAGAAATATTTTCGAAGAATAATTTTTTTCTGCCGCATTAAATCCAAAAATTGGAAATATAAAGCTTTGATTAATTTTAGTGACCTTGAATGAGATATAACCGGAAGAAAAGGCAACATATCGAAAAAAAATTTCGAGAGCGCCTATTTCGACCGAGCAATGTTTAAAGATTGATAAATTTACGAAAAAGACGTTTATTCAAATAATCTATAGAATCAGCAAAATCTATTTATTAACAGTTAACTGGTATAATGAGAGAGCTCATAGAGATCTCACGCCATTATTTAGTTTTTGCAGCTGATCTTCGACAGTGATTGGCAATATCTGAAGAAAAATAAATTATAAAGAACTACATATGAGAGAGAATAATTCAATAGACAAGTGAATGAATTATACAAAAAGTAGTGCATGTCGTTTACCGTAATGATTCTTTAACAAAAATCAAGGATCGACTATTTCGTTACTATGACAGTATCTATGTATGTTATTATTGATCAAACTTGAGAAACTGAAAGAGTAGCGTTATCGCTATCCTTGATGTACAATGTTCATTATACTACTCCATCACTTCAATTCTGCCCGCTTCACACAGAACACGAGCAGAACAAAATGAGAATAGAAGACAGAGTGAGTGGGCAGTTATTATCGGTCATGAGGTCAGAACATCTAGCTGCATAATGGCCGAATGCTCTCACATCAATGAACAATATTATTTTAAGTATATTAAGATAGAATCTCTACAATTTCTTAGAGCTGTCTTATGACACGAAATTTTTAAGAATTTATGTATGTGCATTTCAACTTTTACGATATAGTTCTAAGTTAAGTTGAACAAAGTTCAAGAGATTAACAAATTTGAAAAATGGTGTAACTGAATTAAGAAACTATTCTCATTTAATGATCAGTATAGGCTTCATCATACTTCAAAACAAAGATAGTGAAATATACCAAAAAGAAATTAGTTACATTCTCTAAGACTTTGAAAGATGAGTCAGATACGAATAGATTGATATTGATTATAGGAGAACTCTTTGTGTAATCCCATCATCTTATTCCAATTTAAACTACCCCTCAAAAAAGTTACATTTCATCAGAATCATTGAAATTGAGATAAATATATGAGAATGTAACCTGTCATTTGCTCTTTCATATACGATCAAAATTTTTCTTCGGTACCATCTGTTTTCCGAAAAATTTTCAAAGTTTTTGACAATCCCTATTCGAAAAACCAGTGGTATTTAGAATATCCCAAAAATCTTTTTCAATTTTTCTCAAAATGGTGGTTGAACGACGCATCTCTAGCAAAAGCCAACTATAATCCGATATAAAGGCAAATGTTTTTTTATTTGAAAGAGCATTAAAAACTGCAGTACCTATGAGAGTCCTTTTTTGATAAAGCTTTGTTATTATTATATTGATAAGCAATTTTATAATATGAGCGCCATTTTTCAAGAGATTTTCCAGTGATTGAACTTGTCAGACCTTTTTTCCTCCAGAAAGATAAGAGAAAAAAAGAGCCCTTATAGACACTGAATCCTGATATGCTCTTTCAAACAAAAGAACAATCAAGCATATTGAATGAACACCCACAGAAAATGTTAGGAGATGCAATAAGCTTTTTTTCGACCCTTATTTGGTTTGTACATCCCTTATGCATCGGGATAGGAGGCTGAAAATTTTACCATAGACTACCTTTTACAGCCCCAACATGTCCTCAAAGTTTCATGGCATTTAAATGTTCCTAGGCTGAGACAGATTTTTGAGAGGAAGAGGGTGTGGCTTTAAACACAAATTATGTACATTACTGTATCATCAACAAATCATTGTAATATTCAATATAGGATTGTATAAAAATAATTAATCGATCAGTTGAAGAATGTATTTAACTATGGTTCATCTGTCAATGTTGAAATGACGATGTTGTCTCTCTCGATGTGTACTAACAATAATGATAGTGACTCCATTCTTTTATAATCTATCACACAGAACATATCTGCTGATATAATAACACTTAATATTAAACTTTGATGAATGATTGTCGAAGATCAATCATGTACGACGATTATTTATCTCAATGTAATCACCTTTTCATTCTGTTTCTAAGGTTTATCCGGCTTCTCGATCATTAGTTGCATAGAATAATTAGATGTTTTATCATTTAAATCGATATATTAACTTATATTAATGAAGTACAAGATGTTAAACAAAAAAGAAAATGAGTTATATGGCATTTGACGGTTGTGCATCAAGCAAATGAAGATATAAATAATTTAAAGAACAAAAAAGAAAAAAGAAAACAGACTTCCAATGTCAGAGTAACATATCGAATATATTCATGAGATCGAAGGTGCAAGTAATTTCTTCAGATAATCATCTTGTAAGCAACCAGAAACGAATTCTTCTTTGGATAATTTTCCATCACCATTACTATCCATTTTCAAGAAGATCTCATCTACTTTGATAAAAGGTGAATTTGGGCCTGATTTTTCTTCATCGAATAAGTCATAAATAGCCTAGTAGAACAATATCAAAAACAACTGAGTTTTGTTAAGTAAAAATTGTTTTTCAAACAACAAAAAACAAGAACTTATTTACATTCATAATCTTTCGCATCTCTTTCTTGTCAATGAATCCATTGTGATTAATATCTAATATAAAGAAAATAAAAATTTACAAAGACTCATCAAAAAAATACGAATCGGTGAACGGTGAGCACAGAAATTTGAGGATGTGGATGAAAGACTAACATTCACATCCATAGAGATTTATTGATCTCTCAATTGAACTCACATTTACATTCATTTTTTTTTCATGCTTAACTTTTAGTGCTCATCATTCGCCTTCTCATGAAATCCGTACCATACATCAAAAATATCCATTCAAGTTTCTTCTGTGGATCTTGTTGAGCAGTGATAGAAAGAGCCATGAGAAACTCACCAAAATCTAAAATAATAATCATATTCTTTTTCGTGCTTCAAACAGAAAATATTGAATAATTGAAATATGAATTTTCTTACAATGATTACTGTCATTAACGTTAAAATGATATTGAATATGTTTAATAGATTTTATCAACATAAAATGAGATATTGTACACTGTATGCTAATTCGAAATGACTTTTCACCTTTATTTGTTTTCTTATCTTTGTGTCGAGCTCGTTCTTACTCACCGATATTGCCCGATGAATCCGCATCGAATGCACGAAAGACATGTTTGCAAAA